ACCTTCACAAAAATTAAAATTGCAAACATTGCTCATTTTGAACTACCTAATGCATTAATAGAGCATTTATGGGAGCATCGTAGTGATCTTGAAAGTTGAATATTTATGTAGATTTTAATTTTTTTTTTTAATTATGTAATGTTTATTTAATTGTATTTCATTAATGATTTCACTTTTATTTGTATTATCCATTATTATGTATAATGTATAATATTTGCTAGCAATTTATATTTATTTAAAAAATTATGGTACAAAATAATTTTAAATATAACGATTATAAAAGAAAATAATATAAATTATATATGGTGAATGTTTTAGAAAGAATTTGTTTTATGAAATAAAAAAATGCAAATGAAATAAGAAATAATAATATAATAATGAAGAGAGAAAAAAATATTTTTTTTTGGTATAAAATTTGGGATTTGTGTTGGAGATAGAATTATGGGAAAGCCTTCCACTTGGACTTAATCCCTTACAAGTCCACAAAATAGTTTTAATAAAATTGGTGCAAGAGACAAGCTGCTTCATATAAATGTCTATGCTTTAAAATTTCCATATTATAAAATGAACAAATTTTAGATTGATTGCATATTTACATTAAATAACGCTTAATCAATGAAATTACTAAATATTGAAGATCCAAAGACACATCATTCTAATCCTAATTCACCTCAGACTTAGTTTATAGTCAGGTGCATATTCATCAAATACTAATAATCCCAAATTATATCATTACAAGATGAGACAATGGTGACAGTGGCGGCACCTCAAAGATACCTTTTTCATCCCAAATCGTCGACCAACTTGACGGTGTTAATGGAGCTGCCGCTGTTGGGACTATTCTTTCTTCTTCTTCTATTTTCCTTTCCTTGTTGATAACTAATTGCTCTGTTTCTCTCACCCTTTTATTCCCTGATGTTTTAATCTCATCATCATGATTTTGTTGCTTAAAGTTAGCAACTTCAAGTGGGAAATTCAATATTGCTTTGCTGCCTCTAAGCTTAAACGCCGCCCTGTCATATGCCTTGGCCGCATCCACCGCAGTGTCGAAGGTTCCTAACCAAACCCGAGTCCCCTTTCTATTTGGGTCACGAATCTCCGCTGCAAACTTTCCCCAAGGCCTCTGCCTAACTCCCCTGTAATGCTTCTTCTCACTCTCAACTTCCACTTTCTGTACCACAACAGGTTTCGCGGGTATCGCAACGTTCAGAGATGGCTTGCGTTCTTTGAAGTTACTCTGTTTCGAGCTCATAACATGTGGTTTTGCCTTAAATTCGAAGAAACCATCATACTCTGTTTTTGAACTAGCACTAAAGAAGCTTGATATATCATCAAGATTTGAACTTTGAGTTGTTTCAAAAGAGAAACAACTCTTGTCCACAGATTCACCACAACTTTGGGAATAGTTTTCCATGAAAGCAAAATCATCAAGAAGATGTTGCCTAATCAAATCAAGTGAAGTACAAGTCTCTTGTGGAGAACCCATTCTTTTAGAATTTTAAAATGGAATTGAAGAGGAATGTTTCAAATTCAAAGTTGTGAGTTGAGTGGAAAAAAAGAGTGTGTTGAGGGTTGTTTATAAAGAGTGTAAATTTGAGGATTGAGAAGAGGTTTCCTATGAGGCTTCTAAGGTGGAGAGAGGAAGCATCATGTGGGGTAATCTATAAACCTTTATTTTTAGTGTTTACTGTTATAGACAAATTAAATACTACTATGTTATAATATTTGTTAAATTAGGTCTTAGGTCTAACTCACACTCAAAAGTTAGCTCAAAAGAAGGAGGATTGTTCAAATCTTATAAAGAGTCCACCCATCTCATTATCTATCGATGTGAGACTTTTGTCATTCTTTAACAATATTATTATTTCAAAGAAATCATGTGGGACAACAGAGTGATGATGCTTGCTTTGTTTGTTTGTCTCTTTTGATGTTTTTCTTTTTTTCAATAAAAAATTGGGTATTGATGGATGAGTCTTATCTCTTCCACCAAGAGTTCTATTTCTAGGTTGCTTCTTTTTTTCCTTTTTCTAAAATCTATTTAATAATGAGAGAAGTATTGATAATATTTCTGAATTTAGTGTAAATTATTAGTTTTGTTTTTAAATTATTGATAATTTTGATATATTCCTGAATTGCCACATGACATAGCAAGTTGCCTCAAATTTTTGTAGAAACACAAATTTTTTAATAAAAGACCGAGAGAAGTGTTGAAAACACCCCTACACTTGACAAGAATTTAGAGCTATATTTCACTCATGTGCAAGATCGAAGGCTTATTTAAGTTCAATTAATAAAGTGTGTGTATATATAGTTCAAAAGTAAAATTAACAATTCGTGCCGAGGTTTGGCTCGTTACAATACTTCTCAATCTCTTGTTTTTTTATTAATTGGTTAAATAAATTGTATGTTGGTATATTTTTAATTAGAACTTTTTATGGTCATACAAATGCTATGAAATATTTAAAATCACAAGTTCAATTTTTTTTTAAAATAATATAAAATAAGATCAAAAATTTTAAAAATATTATACCGGATCAAATTATGACAAATAAAGTGAAATTGAGAAGTAAATATTATAAACAATATATGAACGTAACCTCTAACAAGGGGAAAAACTTGAGATCTTTTTTATTTTACTAGATGGACACATCTGAATCGAAATTGTTCAGATTTCAACAGATTAGGTGAAATAATTACTACTACTATTTATATAAAGAATCTAAGAGAGAAGTAGGATACTGAGAATACTACAAGTAGATCTTATGTAACTTTTAGCACAATATAATATATGAAAAATGTTTCTTTTAAATCAGTGAATATTATTTTTACACAAGTTGCATACGAAAATGGACTTCCATTTTTTTCTTCTTCTGAAAAAGACGTATTTTATATATATGCTAACGGGTAATAATACAGAATGTGACCTTTTTTGGGTACCTTCTTTGAAGGGTCATTAATTTAATAATATAATATAAGAGAAAAGAGTAAAAAATGGCTTTTTATAAGTACACAGAATTTATAAAACTTGTCCTTCGTTATGTGTCAATCCTACGTTATTTAGTTGAATCGAATATGTTCGTATAGTGACATAATTTGATATATCACTCTCTTCCTCGTTCTTAAACCCCTTAAACCATTACAATATATTTTTATTCGAAGCCTAGCCCCTCTTCTAAATTTCTCAACGCTACTTAAGTGGATTTAGTTTTTTTCCCACTAATTTTGATAAATTCCGAGTTATGTTATTTTGATGCAATGTAGATGCATTTTATAGTTTGAGGAATCTAATGACAAATTGGGCGGTTTGATGAAATGTTAAATAAATTTTCCTTTTTCATCACATATTGATAATTATATCTTTTTCTAGATCTTCTAATTTAAATTACAGAAAATGTTACTTTAAGTTGGTTAAAAATGGTGTAGAATGTGCTCTATGTGATGTTCAAATTGGTGAAAAAAAATCACTACTTCACATCTGCCGTCCTACAGTTTAATTAGGAAGAAGCTACCATTTAATTTGGCACACATGATTGATGATGATGAGAGGTTGTAATAACATTGGTAAGAAAATGAAATTCAACCCCTTATATGATTATATTTAACTACTTAAAAAAGCAGGGAAATTATTTATGAACTTCGTCGCTGGTCTGTCGCTATTTTGCTCGTAGCTAATGAAAATATGTCAAATTGGCAACAAATTTTGTTGTTTAGCTACAAAATTTGTCTGTCGCTAAATCTCGGTTTTTTAAAAGTAGTTTTGAATGAGAAATATATATTCTTTGCCATAAATCATTTTAGATTGAGTTTTTTTGTTTATTTTTTCCAATTGATCTGCTTTTCAGAAGAAAACAAAACACACAGAATGTACTACTAGTCTGTTCCTCACTAAGAATTTATAATTAATGGATATTTAATGGTTGCTTGTTTGACTAATTTGGCTAATGTATATTTCCAGGAAAGTCTATTTTAACACCTGCAAACTGCAAAGTAGTGTATAGTCCTGTTAATTTTCAAAGCAAAGAAAAAATGAATATACAACTGAAAATAGCTATATCACCCAATCATTACACAATGAAATTCTTTCGTAGACTGGTCATCAACCAAATAAGAAAATATATAGTCAACATTATATTGTGTTAACAATAGAACTACAATGTGTAATGGGGTCTAGCCATTCCAACTCGTTCAAAATAACCTAAAGCACAACATCCATATCTAAGAATTGTGTTCGTAAAGAAAGGATACAATTTTTTGTTTAACCTTCCTATATGTGAAGAACGCTCCATAACCATGGCTTATTACGATACAATTTTTTGTTTAACCTTCCTATATGTGAAGAACGCTCCATAACCATGGCTTAATCATCCATAGACGCAACTGAAGAAGAGATCAGAGAAGAAGATACAGATTGGGGAAGACCAATTAACTGATTTTCATTATGAAGATAGTACATATTTATACAATGAGAAAAGTGTCAACTAGTGTGTTAACACACTAACAGAAAAGTAACATAATTGACAACTGGCTAACTAACTATTCTAACTAATTAATTGATTATACTAACTAACTAATCAGACTAGTATTATAATTAGCTAAATCATAAAGGCCCCCCCCCCTCCCCCTTAAGTTGGAGGTGTGGAGAACACTGATAACTTGCTCAATGTTGTAGAATGTTTGACTCCAGTCAATGTCTTAGTTAATTTATCTGCCAGCTGATTATCAGAGCTTATGTGATGTAAGGAAATGAGGCCTGTTTGAAGCAAATTTCTCACAAAATGGCAGTCAACTTTAATATGCTTAGTGCGTTCATGAAACACTGGGTTTTGAGCTATATGTAGGACAAATTGACTGTCACAGTACACTTCAATAGGTACAGGCAATGGCAATGTGAGTTCTGTTAATAATCTGCTCAACCATACTAACTCACCTGCAACTTTCCTTAGAGCTCTATACTCTGCTTCTGCTGAAGACAAAGATATAGCCTCTTGTTTCTTGGACTTCTAGCTGAGTGGACTGTTGCCTAACAAAACAATATAACCACTTACTGACTTCTTGGTGTCAGGGTAGGCAGCCCAGTCAGAGTCACAATAAGCTTTGACATCATTTGATTGTTCCTTGGACATGAAAATTTTTGGAGTGGGATCAGCCTTGAGATACCTTAGTATATGAAAAGCTGCTTGTAAATGTGGTTCTCTAGGGTCCTGCATAAATTGGCTGAGATGTTGTACACTGTATGATATGTCCATCCTAGTGTTAGTCAAGAAATTTAGCTTCCCAATAAGCTTTCTATAAAACAATGGTTCTGACAAAGGATCTCCTTCCTTGGCATAGAGCTTTACTGTAGGGTCAAGTGGGGATGTACAACTGCTAATGCTTGCAACCTTGTAACTCTTTAACATGTCAAGAACAAATTTCCTTTGAGAGATAATAAGACCATCATCTTTGTAAAGAACTTCCATCCTAAGGAAATACTGTAACCTCCAAAGTCCTTAATCTTGAATTTGTCATGGAAGAAGGTTTTGAGTTCCTCAATTTCAGTAACACTTGTGTCTGTTAGAATCACATAATCTACATAGACATCAACAAAAATGTTGGAATTTTCAGACTTCTTATGAAACAAAGAATAGTCATTCAATGAGTGAGTGTACCCCTTTACATACAAGGCTTCAGCTAATTTGGCATACCACTGTCTGCTGGCTTGTTTCAGACTATATAGGGACTTGTTTAGTCTGCATACCATCCCTGGCTTGTGCACTACTAAGCCTGGGGGAACCTCCATATATACCTCTTCATGTAATTCTCCACGAAGGAATGCATTGTTTACATCAAGCTGAAATATATTCTAGCCCTTCTTTACAACTGTGGCTAGTAAAACTCTTACAGTTGTTATCTTGATTACTGGTGAAAATGTCTCTGTATAATCAACCCCAACTTTTTGGGTGTATCCTTTCACTACAAGTTTTGCTTTAAATCTCTCAATAGTCCCATCAGCTTGTGTTTCACCTTATAAACCCACCTACATCCTATGACCTTCTTTCCACTAGGTAGATTAACAAGATCCCAAGTGTGATTTGTATGTAATGCTTCAAACTCCTGTGTCATGGCTCGTTGCCAGGCAGGGTTCATAGCAGCCTCTCTATATGAAGAAGGTTCATCATCATTACTGACATTTCTTACAAGTGTTTGACTCTCAAGTGCCAAGACTTCAGATGGTACATGTTGGTGTTTGGAGAAGGCAGTAAGGGAAATATTTGAATTCTGTAACTGTTTAGCCATAGTCTTGGGAAAAACATAATCATGAAGGTATGTGGGCAATTTATGTGGTCTAGATGGTCTGCTGGAGGCTATATGTTCATGATTAAAGGGTTGAATGGTAACATGTGAATTAGTTACATGATTAGGTGAAGTATGAGATAGAAGGTCACTTGCATCAAGTACATCATTTTCAACATATTGCATAGTTGGTGATTCAATGTCAGTATGCATGGTATCTGTGAAAGGCACATAGTGCAAAACAGAAGGAAAAGAAGAGACATTAGGAAGAACAGCAAAAGGAAAAATGTGTTCTTTAAAATTACATCCTTGGAAATATGTATCTTTTTTATGGTTAAACTGAGAACTTTGTAGCATTTTGATCCAAAAGGGTAGCCTATGAAGATATGGGGTGTGGTCCTGGCTTGGAATTTGTCCCTATGAGGTTTTGGAAGAGTAGGATAACATAGGCAACCAAAGGTTTTCATGTGGGAATAGACTGGTTTAGTTTTGTACAACAACTCATATGGACATTTGCCTTTCATATGAGAAGTAGGAAGTCGGTTGATGATGTATGTAGCACACAACACACACTCACCCCAGTATTTGATAGGCAATTTGGATTGAAAAAGAAGAGCCCTAGCAGTTTCCAACAAGTACTTGTGTTTCCTTTCCACCACCCCATTTTGCTGTGGTGTGTAGGGACATGTTTTCTCATGAATTATTCCCTTTGTTTTAAGAAAAGTTGAGGTTTCTGCATTTACAAACTCAAGGCCATTGTTAGTTCTTATGGTTTGAACACTAGTGTTGAATTGGGTCTCAACCATGGATATGAAATTTTTGATGACTACTAAGGTGTTACTTTTACATGTTATTAACTGAGTCCATGTACACTTACTGTAATCATCAACAAGTGTGACAAAATAACTACAATTATCATGTGTCATCATATGGATGGACCCTATAGATCTATGTGTAAGAATTGAAATAATTTAGTAGAGGTATGGGTGTTATGAGGAAAAGGCAGTCTTTCTTGCCTTGCCTTTGGGCAAATGTTACAAAGAAAAGGTTGTTTGGCAGAATTTTTTCCAGATATAGACTTGATCTCCCTTATTTTCACAAAAGGTACTGTCCAAGTCTATTATGCCATAACACATTCACATCATCACAAGCATGAGTCATAAATGAAGCATAAAAATCAAGAATTTTATTAAGTAGAACACAATGTTGAGCACATGTACTATGTTTACATGAAGGAACATGTAAAGAAACAGACTTAACATTGAAAAATCTTGAGACTTAGAATTGAAAACATCTTGACTTGGCACACAACCAGAAGTGGAAGTGGCTGAAGTAGCACCAGGATAATTGAGCTTCATCAGACACTTAAAACATAAAAAATATAGTCTATCTTTTGCTTCACCAATCACCAGAGGCCTCTTCATTGAAGGAGCCTGCAGAATGCATGAGGATTCAGAAAAATACACAATGCTTTTAGGTATGGATTTTGAAAGGCAATTAATTGAAACAAGATTGTACTTAAAAGAGGCATATACAACACTTCATGCAGAACAATGTTTGATGCAAGTACCACACTACCAATTTTCACAACTTTCACCTTGTAACCATTTGATAAGGTAATTAATAAGGGGCAAGGAAGATAAGTAATGTTTGTTAAGAATGTTATGTCAAAGGTCATATGATTAGAGGCTCATGAGTCAAGGATCCAATAGTCAATTTTATTGTGAGAGCATATGCATGATAACTTGCCAAAATCAATTGTGGAGGTACATGCTATCATACCTGCAAAATTCACATTACCAATAGTAAAGGCATTGTCCTTTTCAGCTTGAAACTGTTGTAACAACTCCACAAACTGAGCATATTGTTCTCTTGTCAATTGAGGACCTGTATCAGCATGAGTTCCCATGTGCCCCTCTTCTCCTGAACAACAACCACCATGGACATCATCCATAAGACCTTTTCCTTTGTTGAACCTGGGATTCTGATTGTTGCCTTTGTATCCATTCTGATTAGAGGTGTTTGAATTCTGATAATTGTTTGTTTGTGGACTGTTTGTCTATGGATAGACATGTAGCTTGTAACATTTGTCCCTGGTGTTCCCTGGTTTCTTGTAGTAGTCACATATAATATGAGTCCTGGTGCCAATGTAGGAATTAGTCTGATATTAATTAGTTCTGAAATTGGGATTTGTGTTGCCTGTAGAAGAATAGTTTGCCCTCACGGACCTAGAAGTACTTGCTCCTGCTGAACCATTTGTATTAAAAGCAACAGATTCCATGACCTTCTTCCTTGAATTACTTTTATTTAGAGATGCAGACTTCATGAACACTTGAGCATTATGTTTAATTTCTCTCTGTTTTTCATCCTGCACAAACAAAGAAAAAGTTTGAGCTAGGGAAGGTAGTGGATTCATCATGAGGATATTCCCTCGAACTACAGTGTAAACCTCGTTCAATCCCTTAAGGAATTGTATCAATCTCCTATCCTGCTCTACCTTGAGCATACTATCCTTAGCTCCACAAGTACAGTTACAGATACATTGAGTTTTGACATGCAATGTGCTTAATTCTTCCCACACCCTTTTTCATCCTAGTGTAGTAGGTAGTAATGTCTAAAGTCCCATGTGACAGCTCATTGATCTCATGTTGAACCTGATACAGTTTTGCACCATTGGTTTGATCATATCGATTTTCCAACTCCTTCCACAATTCAACTGAATCGGAAACATATTCCACACTTTCTACAATTTCCCAAGACAGAGAATTGAGAATCCAGGAAGTAACCATGTCATCACATCTTCCCCATTGATGGAAGAGTGATGTTCCTGGATCAGGCCTTTTGCAATCACCATTGATAAAGCCCAGCTTATTCTTAACCGACAGAACTCTAAGAACACTTCGTTTCCATGATCTATATCCTACTCCATCAAAAAGAGTTTGAACAAACGATACACCTGGATTATTCGAAGGATGCATATACAAAGGAGAACTAAGATCTTCACCACTAACACCATTTATGTTCACAGTATTCTCATTTGAAATAGAACCACTTTCAATCACCATTGTAAATTCAAATAAAAAACTCACAGAAGATGAATCGATCTAAATGAAGAAATGTAGCGGGAAATAGAATGGATCCAAAAAACCTCGATCTAGCAAGTGGTCAAAATACAACACATGAGTAGAACAAAAATTGAAGATGAAGTATAGAAGCACAAACGAATCGAAGTACCTCGTGCTCTAATACCATGTGAAGAATGCTCCATAATCATGGCTTAATCATCCATAGACGCAACTGAAGAAGAGATCAGAGAAGAAGATACAGAATTGGGGAAAACCAATTAACTGATTTTCATTATGAAGATAGTACATATATATACAATGAGAAAAGTGTGAACTAGTGTGTTAACACACTAACAAAAAAGTAACAGAATTGACAGCGGGCTAACTAACTATGCTAACTAATTAATTGATTATAATAACTAACTAATCAGACTAGTATTATAATTAGCTAAATCATAAGACTATACTATAGCGATAAATTTATTCAAATTCATGTCACGGTTGGCGTTCGGTTCTTCGGTTCGCATTTATTAAACTTCAATTCAGTTCTTGGTTTTCGGCTTTAGAAAAGTGTGCATCGGATACCAAACCAAACTAATTCGGTTTTGTTTAATTCGGTGTTTTTAAATCAATTTCTTATGTGAATAAAAATAAAATGAGGACAAAATTAAAGTATAAGCTACGTAAAAATTAAAAGTATGTTAAGGAATGATGTGTCTCGCCATAGAACTCTTATTGTGCTAACTAAAAGACTATATTTGTCTTTGTCAAGAAAATTGTGTCTCCAACTACTTCTCAAGAAAAAACAAGGACGAAGACAGGTTCCTTTACATAACTACATTAATAAAAATATGTTTTTGTTCCTCTTGAGAACTAATATTTGAAGTTAACAATTGAATTGTACATTTGTATTGCTATTTTGATTTGTTCATGAATGATTTAATTGTTAGTTGACTTTTTATTTTTAGTTAAGAGAATGCCCATATATATAAAGTTTGATTATTCGGTGCTCTAAGTTCTGAGACTCTTACTCCCAACACTGTACCGAAGAATCTAACTTTTTGAAAAAGTAACACCGATATTGAACTGAAAAATCGAAGAACCGAATTAATTTGGTTGGG